TAATTTTTGAAAACACTCTACAAAAAATTTACAAAATTCACACCACACAAAAACTATGATGAAAAAAAAAATATGTCAACTAAGTTAAGTGCTAGTTATTAATTATAAAAAATAAAAATAAACCGTAAATAATTATAAAAAATGTTTAAGCATTACTTTGATAAAAGCAGAGGGGAACAATTTTTCACAGTTACTCAAAAAAAACAATTTGTTTTTTAAGTTCTAGCATTTAACGCCGAGAAGGTTTTTGTATGTTCGTAAAAAGATGATAAATAGCAGTCTATATTTTCTTTTCGTACAGTACCTAAATTAGTTTTTCTTCTGCTTTGTAACAGTTTTGTCATTTTATGCATTTAGTTTCTTTGAAGTGCTCGTTGTTTACAAAAAAAAAAAAAAAAAAAAAAAAAAAAAAAAAAAAAAAAAAAAAAAAAAAAAAAAAAAAAAAAAAAAAAAAAAAAAAAAAAAAAAAAAAATCAGACAATTTTTGCAAAGTATGTTATGCTAGTATATTAAAGTAATTAAAAATAAAATTACAATTTACATTCAATTAAAATTTTTTTCGAACTTATATAAATGTGTATGTATTTGATGTTCACTTGTTTTTAAAAGTACATTTTGCGCAGTAAAAATATGTATGATTGTTTTATTTCGTTGGAAATTTTTTGTAAAGAGCGGCGTTTATAAGTAGAAAACAAATTGTTGCAAAGCTTACTCACAAATATTAAGTAATTAAAAAAAATTTTTTTTTCATAAAAAAAAACAAAAACTTTCTCAGCGTTTATGGTTTTAAAACAAACCCCTACATTCATTACCAAATCTATAACCAAGAATTAGTAAATTTTTAATACTTTCTAGAAATAGAAAACTTCAAAATAAATAAAAATATACAAAAAAAAAAAAACTTTGAACTCTGCAAATTTAGTTGTTACTGCTAACTGTTATTTAATGCATATTAATATGTGGCAATTTTTTCACTCTTTTATTCATTAATCAACATTTAATAAAGCAATTTTTTTTTATTCGCACTTATTTTTTTATCATTATTTCTGTTTTGGCAATATTCTACACATAAATACATATAAAATTATGAGTTTAATGCTAAATAAATATTAATTGAATCGTAAATTGTAATAAAAAACATATTGTGGTTTTTATTTCAAGCGGAACTTAGTAAAAGTAAGTATAAAAATATTTTTAATAAATTAATTATAAAGAACAATTTTGAGGTTATGTAAATTTCACATGGTTGCTTAAGAGCTCGGTTAGTTCACTTGCCGGATTGGCCCAGTGGCATGTGGGATAGGCGACAACACAACTCGTACTCGTATGCGTTTTGCCCGCCTTTAGCGCTTTTCGCAACTCGCCGTAAGGCGCGAACACATCCAACATCCATGAAAAGCTCGTCAAACCATCGATGATTTTTTGCATGCTGGTCGCCTGTCCGTGACGCACTTTTTGACTGGATTCCTGCAGCATCAGGCAAATGGCTTTTTGCACGCAAGCACCGATGTCGATTTTATTATCCAAGAATGTCTCTTCGATGCGTTCGAAAAGGCTTGGTAGTGTGGTCTCTGTGGCAGGAAAATCGGTGGTTGTATAAAAATATCTTAGAAAATATATACAACTTTTGTTTTTTTAAATATTCTAATTATCAATATTTAGGTGAGTATGACCACTTTTTTGTGGGGTGTGCGCCCAAATTCGGCTGGGACAAGAATTCAAGTTAGAGGAGAAAGGTGATTCAGTTACTCCGCAGTAGTCATCATCAAACTACTGACACGAAATAGCCGTGAAAAAAAAATATATTTATGTATGTGACAATTCATATATAGAAAATTATACCACTATTCGGCACCGTTCGCGGCAATTCGGGTTGACATATGGAACGACTTGACGCATTTTATGTCGAGATCTTAAATTGAAAGCGTACAAGATACGCTCGACCTTCCCAAGTGACAACGCTCCGCTCTATGGGCTCTTGAAAAGTTCTAAGAAGATCCGACCTTTACTAGCCAAATTTTAGTCAGCGATAAGGTCCTTTTCTGACTCCATGGGTAGGTAAACAAGCAAAATTGCAGCATTTGGGACGAAGAGCAACCTGAAGAGATTCAAAAGCTGCCATTTAAACAGCGGTTTATGTTGTTTGTGAGCCGGTGGAATCATCGGTCCATATTTCGTCAAAAATGATGCGGGTGAGAATATAACCGTCAATGGCGACCGACTATTTGACACCTGAAATTGAAGCTCATGATCTTGGCGAAATGCCAGAGAATGTTCCTTCGAATGATAATAGACATTATCCATTGAATTTGAACTTTCTGTGTAGTAGGTAGGGAGCTTAGAAATGGACCCCGCCTTTAATTGAAGAATGTAGGTGCTCGGAGTTAAAGACATGATATCGCTCCACTTTTTTTATGAATTGCCATTAAATTTTGAATAACAAAGACTTAAGAGTCTGAATCAGAAGCGCACATTCGGATTACACTACAGTGAAGCCGGCATTCCACACACGAGTTACTCACATCCATAGAAATGCCAAATCATCTTACCAATTCGCTCGCCAGTGCCGTTTTTATAGACTAAACGGAAATGATCGAAAAGATTTTTAGCGTCGTAAAAATTATTTTTTGAATCAGCGTAACGTTTCTCTCTCTTCTTTGTTTCTTCCTCAGTAAATATTTTCTTGTCTGTGTTTTTGATGCCATTTTCCAAATATATCGTCTCTTCATCTTCAGCCGAACGTCCTTTGAGAAAACGAAGTGAACGCAGAAGATGCGCCACAAACAAGCTTCCACCGGCCATTAGACCACTGGTTACCAAAGATGCTGTATTGATGTTCACCATAGCCTGCAAATAATACAAAAATCTGCATATATTGGCAGCACAATATTTCACGCGATTAATATTACCGGAGAGTTGCCGTACTTGTCTACATAACGCTTAATTGGCACTTTAAGGAAAGGCAATTCGAAATCCAGTCCCATCGCCACATCGTCACCGAGCGGACGAAATGAGAAAAATCTGTTTGGTCCACTGCGATCGGTTGGTAAGAAAATATTGGCAGCGTCCTTTGCGTAAGCCGCCAATGGCAAAAGCGCCACTATTAAAGCATTAAGCAGCATATTGGCCAGAAATACCCGAAAATATTTTGAGTTAAACTGTAATTTTTCACGTGCCTTGGTTGTTGGTCTAAGCGCTTCTACAAGAAATTTCGTGGAGAATTTGGTTATATATGCGGCCGAAGTAAGGAAATGCTTTACATTTCAACATATGGGTGACATGCTCTGCTGCTTGTCTGAAGCACATATTAATTGGACTGAAAATTTTGGTTATCTGCGTTTGTACTACTTTGTTCGGGTAATCACATGTAATGGGTCCATATTAAGTGCAGTTATTTAAGAGGTGAGCTAATTCCTATTTGTTATGTATTTATCGCCTAGTTTTTTTGGGTTTTTTTATGAGTCAACTAAGTGTGTGACGATTTCGTGGAGTGACTCAACTTTTGATTTAGATATGAATGCATTCAGTCTTACACGTATGTATGTATGTATGTATATACATTAAGTACAATTGAAAGTAATTTGCATAAAATGTCATGAGGGTTGTGCAAAGTTTGATGTCAAAGTCAGTTTTAAATAGAATGTAGGAAGAAATAATGCGCTTACATTCAATCACTTAAATAAGTAGGCACCATAGCATGGTTAAGGAATTTCGAACAAAACTTTGTAGATACTCAAAATAACTTACTGTTATTCTTTGCAGCTGTCGAGTATAATCAGCATATAAAAATAAGAAAATTAGTCTGGGCGAGCGTTTTTTGTGAAAACGAAATACTAATTTTGTGAGAAAGTGAACAAAAAATTATTCTAAGTATTAATCATTGTATTTTGTTCACACATTTCGACCACCTTTCTGACATTTTGTGGATGCCAAGCAAATAGAAAAGTTCGTCTTTTGAAGCAAATCAATCAGACTCCAAGTTTTCGACTTCTGCGTAGGAATCGAAGGGCTGCTCAGCCAATGCGATGGAAACAAATGTTCTTCGGAAATAGACAAGTCTTGTGAATACGGCGGGTTGGGTAGCAGCTCCCAGCGAAGTACTTTGATTGTAACCTCTACCGATTTTGCTCTATGTGCAGGTGCAATGTGGTGGAAAAAATTACTTTGTCGTGTCTTCAGACCCATTATGGTAGATTTTTAATCAATGTATGGTTCGAATTGATTATTTGTTGTCTACAGCGATTAGCATTAACATTTTCATCAAGTTTTAGAAGTTCATGATATACCACACACTTCTGATGCCACCAAACACAGAGCATTGACTTCTTACCGAATCGATCTATTTTTGCAGTCGATGTTGATGGTTCTCCCGTATTAAATCATGATTTTCTCCATTTAGGATTCTTAAAATAAATCCATTTTTCATTGCCATTGACGATGTAAACCAAAACTGATTTTCTTTCGTGCTTTTGAATTGAAAAACAGCAAGACTTTGTTTATAATTTCAAACATCTTAATTATTCCTTCAAAATCTGAATCGTCCTCTCAAACAAATCCCCCTTGGCCACAATACACTTATGCCATATTTTTTATAATTTTCGAAACAGTTGTTGAAGTCAATTCTCGGAATAGCCTTCTATGTGCGTAGCGATACACGTTTAATGTCATCAATTTACCCAAAACGGTTTTCCCGGAGCGGTCGTTTAAGTTTGCTGAATAGCCAGAAGTCTAGTATTTATGTCAAGATATTGATTCACGAAGAATCAAAGCGGTATGCGATGTTGCATTGTCGTGATGCAAAAACCAAAAGTTGTCTGCTTTAATTCCGGCTTCTGTAACGAATAGCTTCGCGCAAACGACGCATAACACTCGAATGGTATTGTTTTTTGACAGTTTGGCCGGTCGGAAGAATTTCAGAATACAGCACACGTCGATAAATCGAAAACTGTGTAAACAAAACCTTGATTCTTGACCCGCTTTAAAGTGATTTTTTCGGTTTCGCCTCACCTTTGCCACAATATTCAGCAGAGGGATAGTGTTTTTCCGAGTCGTAAACATAGATACAAGACTCATCGCCACTAATAAAATGTTTCAAGAAATCCTGGCAGTCGAAAAGCATTGTTTTGCAAAAGCTGTTTCTGAAAAAAATTTTACGATTTTGGAACCAATCTTCCTTTTACTTTTCTTAGGGCCAAACGGTTTTTCAAAATGGGCTTCACTGATCTGATGGTCTGATATTCTAACAGTGGCGAAAAGACCTCTGCTGTTAATCGTCTAGTCTCAAGCAACATTTTCTTTAGTTTTTTATTCATGTGTTCATCATCAGTTGAATGACCGTTCTGAACGTAGTTCGTCGTCAGCTCTCCCTGGTAACCCTCTTTGAATAATTTGTCCAATTAAAAACACTTGCGACAAACAATTATCACTGAAGGTCTTCTCCAACATTTTGTATGCTTCGGCACCAGCAATTTGTTTCCGCACATAAAATTTAATGAAACTTCTTTGCTGAATAATTTCACTCACTACTTCAGAAAGACAAGCGTATACTAAACACTAAAGATTATTCTGATGTGATACTTGGCACAGAAGCTAAAAAAAAAAATTTGACGAATGACATGTTTTCGCACGAAAGTTCAATTAAAAAGTCTTACTAGTTTTTGCTCACAATAATATGAAGAAATAGAAATACTTCGAAACCAGTATCTTATAGCAAACTTTAAATACTATTATCACTTAAGGTATCTAATCAGTAGAAACGGGTATATATTGCAATATACGGCAAAATAAACTACCCAAGTCTTAGCCTTAGTATTAACGATTGTTTTATAAAAAAAGCTGCCGAGTATGAAGTGATTTAGGTAAAAAATAAATAAATATATATTTTTGGCACTTAAACTCGTACAAGAAAATGTATAAAAATCATATACTATTTCAAGATTATAAAAATATTACAACAACTTTTCAATAATCTTTTTTTTTTCAATTTCTTTGACAACCATAGCGGAACAAGCACAACTTGAATGTGTTGTCACTGAAACCACTACAGCTGTCTTCCAAAATATCCAATCAGAAACTTCTTTGCTATTTCCCAAGCTTTATTCTGCAATTTCCGCCATTCACAATCGCGATAAACGAGCTCACAGCTAGTGTCAGCGTGCGCACGACCTGTGTCTATAGCATTTTGCAAGGCGGTGCCATTCAAATAGTTCTTCAGCAAATCCAAACTGAGCGCCAGGAAAAACAAAAGAAGAGTAGTCAAATAGTTAAAGTTATTTGGTCTGCAGCATGCCATTTAACAAACCTGATGAGCCCATCGACTATGCGATCAGTGGGCGAACCCAGTCCTGCGCGTACACCTGTTGTGGCTTGTTGCACATAATTGCAGATCGCACGCTGAGCGCAAACGCTCACATTTATGTGGTTTACATGTAGATTGTGCTCCAAAGCATTTAGCATATCGTGACCTTTAATAACTGAAGGTGAAGAAATATATCTATTTCAAATAATATACCTTATATAATGACGAGTACTCACTGGATTTCGTCACTGTATCGCTCTGATCGGACGCGGGCGCATAGCTGGCGAAATTGAAGTCATCCATGAAGTCAGCAGCACGCGTGGCTTTTTTATAACCATATCCAAGTAACGTGGGCGTGGTTACGGTTTTTAAAATTACCGCAATGATTGCGCCTACAATTGCGAAACCACTGCTGATCAACAATGTATCCGAGTTCAAATCGGCTAATTTGCGAAAAGCCGCTTGTGTGATTTGTACACTGCGCGCGATCGGTACACGCAGGAACGGTATAATAAACTCCAGATTGATGGCAAGATCTTTGCCATCAGCCTCGAAGTGTATACCACGCGGCTTGCGCTCTTCAGCTACAGTTTTGCTGAAAGCATTAGCACTTTCCTCACTGCTCACTGACTGCCTTTCCACCTCCACTGTTGGTCGGCTGGTCGATGCGCTCCAAGTGTAGCTGCTCAGCGCACGCGGTTCAAAGTCGTGAAACCGAAAGTAATGCACTACGCCACTGTCTTCACTCGATGCTTGGCGGTCAGGCATATTCGTTGTATTTGCATGATTGTTGTGACGTTTAATTCTTAAATAATCAAAGCTATTGTCATCCAGGATTTCGTGCAAAGTTTGTATGAACGTTAGCTGCAAAAGCAACAGTAATAATGGCAAAACACTGTTGGTGCGTTGGTGGCCCCTCCACCAAAGCCTCGTGTCGAAATTCGCACACATTCTCTGCGCGATGTTGTCTCGCAAACGTTTGGCGGCGATCTGAAGGCGCTCGCATGCAACACCTCGTTGTTTATATCAAGTAAAGACATAAATAAACTGTGACGATTAAATGTTGAAAATTGAAAAAGTAATTATATGTTAAAGTCGAAATTGTGTTAGAAAAGGGTGGCAAACGGTGACGATGTCTGCATTTGCGGTGTTTTCATGCTTCACGCGCACCATGCAGCTAACCTAGAGCCGACACAGTGTCCGCGTCGGTTGCAAGTGGTTTGGGTAAATTCGTGAAAATATTAATGTTTGCAATGCACAGTTTTTACAACTAAAAAATTGGTTTTTATAATAATGCCAAGTATTTGTGGAAATTTTAATGTACCGTGACTAAATAACTGTATTTTTAGTTAAGTCTTTGTAATTCTGTTCCATTAAATGATGGTTTACCTTTAGGTGTTGTAAGGTCAGCTTCTTTGCCTCAAAAAACTAAAAACAATAATATTCAGATATAGGAAAGGGACTTAGAAAACCAATTGTCGCTTGACAAGAAATAGTTTTTCATTTATTGCCATTAAAGAAGAAGATCAGGTAGTTCTCTTTGAAAAAGTCTAAGAAGATCTGCTGAGTTGATACATAAGATATGCTACGAACATTTCCTTTATCTCCTCGACAAAATTTATTTGATGGTCGAAATTCAAAACTACACATTTAATACCAGACCCCCTGGCTGCTTGATACGTATACGATTATTTATACGAAATAATTACAGGTATATATTATTATGTATTGTTGCTATTGTTATTGCAATAGTATTATCCAAAATATTGATCATCTGAAGCTTTACTATTTTCTTATCTTTCTGGTAGCTTGTGTATTCCAATCTAAAAGATTTGCGCCGGCCGACACCCTGTACTGGTGTGAATCGCATTTCAGTGGGATCGTTCTGCAGTGACCGTAACAAATGTTAGTTAGAAGGGGTAAGGTTTGAGCTATAAGGCGGATCAAGCACAACTTCGCAGCTGCTATTTAAGGTTTTAACTCGACTTGAAAGGTGAGGACGAGAGTAGTCATTATGGAAAATTATTGTCTTGTGTCTACTTGATATTGCATCAATTTTCGACAATCGCTCACTTAAGTTTGATTAATGTTCATCTGGTTTTCGAAGTTCATAATACAGTACAGCCTTCTGATCCGAACAAATAAGGAGCATAGCCTAAGCGTCGCGTCTTTGTCGTTCTTTTTGCTGGTTGGCCAGGTTTCACAAATGATTTCTTGCGTTAAATGTTGTCACAATGGATCCATTTACCATTACCAGTCACAATCTGCTGCAAAAATGGACTTATTTTTTCAGCGTTCCAGCAGTAAATCTGGCATGCGAAATCTTGACTTCAATTCATATAACATCCAGTTTCTTTGCTTTTAAATGCATCCGGCTGTTTTTAAATGTTTCGAAAAGGCGAGTCTCAAAGAGCTCTTAGAATCAGCTTTGCTTGTGTTTGGGAACAATTTTCATTCACTGATTCTACGAATTCCTCATCTTTTGGCAGCCCACGATGTTCTTCGTTTTCCAAGCTTTTAAATCGTGCAAACCACTTTTGGCACCTTCGTTCAGCTAAAGCATGTTCAGCATAAACTTCCACCAAAATACGAAGACCTTCGTCTAAGGTTTTCTACATGTTAAAGTACCAAAAATCAAAAGAATAATTTCACGCTTGAAGTTCGACTTATTCAAATGAAAGATAATTATGTTGTTTACGCTTCAAATGAATGACACACTCGTATAGTTTAGGGCCCAATATAACCTCATTTTCCCCAATGCAAACTAGGTGTGTAAATAATTGACCATTATACTATAAAGTCGTTGGGTTTTGAAACCGCTCTCGTACATCGTCAGCAAAGAATATGTACATCCAACTATAATAAGTAGCTTTACTTAACTTTTGCTTGTATTTTCAAATGATCTATCTTTTCTCTTGAACAACTTCGGAAAAGGTTCCGCTCTACAGAGTTCACGCGTAAGACGATGCATTAAAGTGATTAAGTGTTTGTTTATTAGAGAAGTGTGCAAATGTTTATGCCTTTTTGGCAAATTGGATAACAATCTCACCTGTAATATTTGCAAAAACTAAAATTAACTAGAAGATATTTTTGCACAACTATTTTGAGGACAAGTTTTCACTTGTACGGAAATTGTACCAGCGCAAAACTTGTCTTCAGTTCAGAGGTTCACTGTTCGTGGTAAATTCAGCGAATATTTCATTATTATTATATTCATCGGCCGCCAAAGGAATAAGCGCCAATTACGTAAGCGAATGTATGCCAAAAGTACCTTGGTTTACAGAAAAGTTTAGAAAGAAATTTAGTTTAGAAAGAAATTTAAGAGTATCGAAATCATGCTGTCTTTATAGAATTGCTGTATGCATAGTTCAGACAGACATTGCAGGATTGGCATGACGGTTGCTAATTATTAAAGTTATCTGAAATTCAATGGAATATAATCATCTACCGATAATCCCGCTTTTCTGAAACTAAAGTTTAAACATCTTGATTTTCACTTGGTGATGTACTTGAAATCGGAAGTTGTCAGACTCCAGGACTCCAGACACATTGTGGATATACAAATGAATGGTTTAATTCATCTTCAAGACTTATTTGGAAACAAAAAAAACTTTGTTCAAATTGTGCAGGAGTGATTTCCGGCGCGATATTGTGTCATAATACCTAGCATAACTTGACTTAGTTTTACGTAGAAAAAAAAATTATATTTCATTTTGTTTTTTAAAACTCTTCACACAAAATTAATTAACATAGCACAAGGTGAACCTTATTTGGTTCGGAAAACCCCTGATAGGTACTTTTTTCAATAGCCTCTTTTTGTCGATTCGACGCCGTTCACAGCTTCTCGAACTGTTTGATTGAACGATTTGGTGTATTTTATTTATTTATTTATTTAGTTAATTCTATGAACATTACTTCTTACAGACTAATGGAGAATTAGGATTCAAATTTGAATTCCAAAATAATTAAATTACAATTACACAGGTAGATAACTTCAATTAAAAACAAGTAAGGAAGGGCTAAGTTCGGGTGCCGCCGAAAATTTTATACTCTCGCATGATAAAGTGATAATCGAGATTTCAGGCGTAKTTGTGAACCGATTTCAGCCATATTTGGTACATGTCATCAGGGTATTAAGAAAATATTATGTACCGAATTTCATTGAAATCGCTATAGTACTTCCTGAGATATGGTTTTTGGTTCATAAGTGGGCGACGTCACGCCCATTTTCAAATTTAAAAAAAAAATCATGGATGCAGCTTCCTTCTGACATTTCTTCCGTAAAGTTTAGTGTTTCTGACGTTTTTTGTTAGTCGGTTAACGCACTTTTAGTGATTTTCAACATAACCCTTGTATGGGAGGTGGGCGTGGTTATTATYCGATTTCTTCCATTTTTGAACTGTATATGGAAATGCCTAAAAGAAACGAYTCYATACAGTTTGGTTGACATAGCTATASTAGTTTTCGAGATATGTACAAAAAAGTTAGTAGGGGGCGGGGCCACGCCCACTTTTCCAAAAAAATTACGTCCAATATGTCCCTCCCAAATGCGATCCCTTGTGCCAAATTGCATTTTAATATCTTTATTTATGGCTTAGTTATGACACTTCATAGGTTTTCGGTTTCCGACATTTTGTGGGCGTGGCAGTGGGCCGATTTTGCCCATCTTCGAACTTACAGCTTGCACGGACGGACGGACAGACAGACATTCGGATTTCAACTCTACTCGTCACCCTGATCACTTTGGTATATATAACCCTATATCTGACTCTTTTAGTTTTAGGACTTACAAACAACCGTTATGTGAACAAAACTATAATACTCTCTTTAGCAACTTTGTTGCGAGAGTATAAATAGAATTGAGGGTATTAATGAAGGATGCCTTAGAGTGAGAAAAATCTAGAGCTTTATCGGAAATTGAGTTAAACTCAAGCATAGCACTCTTGAGAGAAGCATATTCAGCAAATTTAGTACTTTCCTTTTTATAATAAAATTAAATTGAAACCGCAGAAAATACAGCTTGTGCAAGAACTGAAGCCGCTCGAACTTGAAAAGTTCCAAGAAAATCCGATGTTTTCGTTTTTGTTCCGCGATAATGCCTATTTCTGGCTCAATGGGTTTGTAAACAAGCAAAATTGCCTCATTCGGGACGAAGAGCAATCTGAAGAGATTCAAGAGCTGTCATTTCATTCACAAAAACCACGGTTTGGTGTGGTTTGTGGGCTGGTGGAATCATCGGTCCATATTTCTTCAAAAATAATGCCGGCGAGAACGTAACCGTCAATTACGACCGTTATCACGACATGATCGACACGATCTGAAATGTAGCCTCGGCCAACGTTCGAAAGAGATAATCTTCAATGAACGCAATAGATCACTCTTTAATAGACCTCTTAAATTTCAAATGGTTCAAATCAAGATGGAAATATATAAATAAACGATATTATTTTTGAAACATACAGATGCGGCTGAAACCATATACCACCTTACATTACAGATTAAGATTAAATTGGAGATTATTTAGTTCAACGCCATGTTCATTGCCCTCACGAACAAACGTCAGTGATTATCTTGAACAAAAATCCTATTAAATAATGTATTACATATGTCTGTTGACAACTGTTGCGAATTTTTCAAACGTTGTATTTACCGAAGCGTTTGCGAAACTGGTTAATAGTGCGAAAATTTGCATAAATATAAAAAACAACACATATGTCAATATGTAGAAACCCATATTTTTCACATATCGTATTTTTAAATGTTGTTAAGAGTTCCTTTCAAAAATATAGGATCTCCTGTCATGTCATGTTTTTACCCAATTTTAAAAATGTTTATCGAATTTCAAAGCAAAGGAAAAGTTGCCGAAACGTTAATCTGTCAAAAAAACAACAAAAAACTCTCAAGCCTTCATAGTAGAGAACACCACTACAGTGACCAGAGCTTCCACTGAAAAAATTAAAAGACTCAATTAAATTTTTTTTTTTCACTTTCCTAATTTTATAAGTAAAACAATCAACATATTCGTTCTGGACACGGATAACAACAATCGCCACACGGATAGCAGGGCGAATAGCAAGACGGATAGCAGGGTGAGTAACATGGATAATAACAGGGATCCGGTTTTCTACGACGATCAATCATACAGAGCAAAGGTGGAGGCACTTCTGTTAAACGCTCACGCCGCAGTCGCCTATACAAAGAAGTGTGTGAGTGAGAAGACAAAAATATTTATGAAAATCCGTTGTATGTTGATTTACGTTCCGTGTCCAGTTCTCGAATAGTGGAAGCCCAATCACCAACGTTTCAAGACAAAAGCATTTCCATTTGCCTAGGCGTAAATATGTTTATTAAAACATTTAACTTAAATGTTTAACTAATAATTTCGTACAAAAATTTGGAATAAGCAAAACAATTTGGCTAAATATATGGCGCCATCACTTTAAATTTATCATGTCCAATAAGTCCGGGAATGTTTGAATTAACTCAATACTTGATAAAGTGTATCTGCTTCAATTACTATTCGAAAACTGTTCGGAGCTTTTCAATTATTGCGTTTTCTTTGTTTTTTGTTTATCGGAGGTAATGAGCACAGCGTTAGGAACGCTTTGCTTTAATGGCACTTACGCTTGATATGCAGATCCTCCTGGACCACCTCCACCACTGCCAGCACCACCTTTGCCTTGCTTCAAATACTTCATCATATCAACACCACCACCGGGTATTGGTTTGCCGTCTGGACCGATTGCACCAGGACCACCAGGTCCGCCACCGGGTCCACCACCTGGGCCACCGCCTCCCCAACCACCGCGGCCACCACCACGTCCACCTCTACCGCCAGGACCCCAACCACCAGGACCACCACCTCTACCGCCGCCACGACCAAAGCCGCCTCTACCACCACCAGGACCCCAGCCACCTCGCCCACCACCTGGTCCCCAACCACCGCCACCACCTCTGCCACCGCCAGGACCCCAACCACCTCTGCCACCACGCCAGCCACCAACGCCACCGCCCCAGCCACCGCCAGGACCACCAGCCCAACCGCCTCCAGGTCCACCACCATAGCCACCCCAACCACCGCCACTGAAATCGTAATGTGCACCAGTTGCACAGTTGTATGACTTCATGAATCGGTTAGGTGGCAGTGGATACTTGGGCTGTATATTCCAATCGTTCTCCACATACTGTGTACCATGGTTGACTAAGTTCGGCTTCTTGAGACGCTCTGGTTTAATAACGCCAGCAGGTGGTGTTACACCGAAATCAAACTCCACATCCGAGTCGGTGGTGTCGGACAGCACCAGCGTGCTATTACAGCAGGGTATTTCACGCTTACGACATTCCTTACTGACCTGATACTCCAATCGCTTCTTATCCAAAAAACTTCGACAGTAGCACTCAATCACTGGCTTGTGGCAAGTACATTTGGCAAAACCCATTTGTTTGAGGCAGCGCTTCAGCTTACTCATTTCGACCATTAATGGATTTTTGGTTATTTTAAATTGTATGGGTTTCATGTTGAGGTAAGGATCGGCGCATTCCTTTAAAGCTTCGGCATCTTTAAGTGGACGCAGTGTTATAAAGTACTCATCATTCTTTTTGCAAATATGTAATGTAGGTCTTTGTACCATCTCCTCCTCACACTCTTTACCATCACCTTTACCTTGATCGCGATATGCGTATTGGGAGACGCGTATCGTATCGGCTGGATAATCTTTTAGGAAGAATCTCATGATCTCTTTAATTGGTTTGCGTATGGCGCCCGGCTTCCAACCACGTCTTTTGCCACTCGTATCCAAATTCCATAACCAACCCATGTTACGTGGTACATTCTTTTTGCCAATATTAAAGCCGTTGACGCACTTCAGATGGCGAGCGTCCTTGATTGGAAAAGAGCGATCGCCGCCATACGTATAGCTGGGGAAAGAAGTTATAATTATATCAGGTTAAGATATATTCTAGTTTACAGTAAAACACGCTTAAATTCCTCATGAAAAATACGAGCTTTTTGAGGTACAAAGGCGTTTGAGGTACTTAAAAGAGCCCGCTTAAGGCTGCCCGCAGCGTGGACTCCTACAGCTGAACCAAGCGCGTTTTCTCATTTACGCAACATGCGCATTAAGGCTAGGCACGGCTCTGAGCATACATTCTGCGGTTACCCTTAATTCTTCAATGGGTTCACTAAGTCTCGAAATGGTTACTTAAGCGAATTTTAGTGAATTTCCAAATGAAATATTAGTCAATTGTACTTACGCTTTTTTATCCCTCTTGGTTTGCTCGGGTTCATTCGGTTTAAGTCTCATGCGAGTTTTTTTCTTCCGCCTGGATGGTTGCTCCTCTTCTTGTGGACTTCTCTTCTGTTTGCCTGCTTTATCAGCACTGTCTTGTGGTGCGCGTTTCTTTTGGACGCCGCCTGAGCCCTGCAACTCTTTTTCGCAGCGCTCATCTTGTTTGAAGGGTTTATACTGTGCCTTCTTTATATCATATAAATCTCTTAGCTCAGAAAAAACGCGTGCTAGGTACGGACGACAGTCTTTACTGCTGGTCTTGCATACATTGAACATCTCATCCGATTCACACTTGCCACAATCCGGTTCTGGTTCTTCTGGCGGTCGCGGTGGCTGAAAGATATCCTCACATAGCTTACGTATGCGGCAATGAGCGCAAGTCTTGCCATTTTTACAAGTACAGCGACATTCTTTTTTTTCCGCGGCTGATGGCATTTCGCCGGCATCATGACGACAGCAGTCGCTTAACTTCTGATCGGTGCCACTCGATTGTTTGTCCAAGTACTCTTGTAGTATTTGATCGGCGGTCATTTTCTCATTGTATGCCTTCTCCTCTACATACGGTACCGGCTTGTAGCCACATTTCGGACAACATGCAAGTTTCGGTAGCCAAGAGATATTCTCTTTGCAGACTGGACAAAGTCTACAAAATTAATGAAGTGTCTTAGCAGTTTCAATAACAAACGAAATAGACGTGTTTTTACCTCGGCGTGTGCATCACAGTCTGGTTAGTATTCGGCGCTGCCTGTGGACAAATGTTAACGAGTTTTTCGCCGGCGAACGCGCCATTCTCCGAGTGTTGATTGGCGAAGCAAGAACATGGAAATCGGCAATCTATACAATAAAACAATATCACTAAAATCCCCAACTAACGAACATACGCTTACCTGAACTATCCCTAGTACTACTCGAGGAATATTTATTGTCATGCGGACATTCGCGTATGTGGGTGCTTGCCCGGCACGAGCGCTTATCGTTCGCCGCCGCTATGGAATCGATCAGTTTCTGATATGTGTTGGACATTTTCTAGAAATTTTAACAAGCGCTCAATATTATAAACAACTTGACGTCGGTATTTCAAAGGCAAAGGCACAAACCTTCAATTCGCAGCATTCCGTATTGCCGCAGGTATTTAGCACATCGGGCGTCGGCACCAGTCGTCCGTTGATCGCACGATAGCGTGACAAGTCGAGCGCTGTCGTATAACGATCGCCATCACAGGTGTGATTTGCATCGGGCAAGAGACCAGTACATTCGTCTTCTTTGGCGGTATCGCCAACCACAAAAAGAATATCATGCGGATTGATCACTTTGTCCAAGTGGTGACGAATATCATCGCGATCGGTCATGAAGTCATCGCTAGCGGAGATATATAAAACAATTTAATATTGTGGCTAAAACAGTCGTTCGCCGTGATTTACCAGTTTTCTTGGCATTTACATTGCAAGCGCACGATCACCTCAACAGTACCGACTTTGTCCTCGTCGAACATGATCTCACACTCATCGACATGCGTAATTTCGTTTGCTGCGTCGGATACTTTATTAAGCACCGAAGGCGGCCAAATCATCGCACCGGAGCCTATGAACATAGAATATATCATATGAATAATATAAACTCCATGAGCGTCTCCACCTCCGATTCACTTGCCTACAATGACGTTGTCATATTTGATCGTTAGCTTGAGTGGACGCGCCTCCATGTCGGCGCGCAGCTCATCCGGCGTCGACTCGAATTCATAACTGCGTCCGGAGCGAAACTCGGCCACATTGATACGGCTGGCGGTGATGCTCAGCGAGACGTTGTTGTAGTTGACGTCGACAGCGAAGAGATTAGGATCGTCATATTTTTGCATAGGCGTATCAATACGCACCACGATTATATCGAATATGTAACCTGTGACCATTTTGGTGTGTGGCGCCCGTCGTTTGCGTTGCCGAGAGTTCTTGCCTCACACTGCAATTTCGATCATTTAATATTGGTGTTTACTGTAATTGAAAGCTTGAGAGTTGCTGGAAAGTTGTCCCCACTGTTCTTTTTATTTTTTAATTTTTTTATTCGGAATTTTCTTTATGAGCTCCTTAAAACGCTGGCTTTAAATTTTTGTTTTTTTGTTTTTGTAGTTGTTGCAACGAATATGGTTTTCGAAAGTAAATACCCGATAACTTTCGACAAATTTTCTAAAAACGTATACAATATATTTAATAAATCGAAAAAATTCTTATTTAAAATATAATTTTTCACACAACTTAATTGTAATTTTTTCAATTATTTTGAGAGAAATGAAAACAAATCCAATGTTATCAAAATCTATGCCATAAATCGAAATCCAAAGTGATTTTATAGAGATGAGTGTCGAGTTCAGTTGACAGAAGACACGTATATAGCAGTTCTCGAGCGAATGTGAACTACGTAACCTTAAACTCTGACTATATGGCACGTTCACCGTACCCCAGACTAGATAACTGCAAGTATGATTTCTGTGAAACCATCTCTGCAGAAACTGCTTAGAGCAGAAACGTCGCAACCTCAAGGGAAAATTCCTGCAATATGATGAGGTACTGGATTATATCGACCGAATTTCTATCGCGCCTAACTTCATATAACTACAGAACACCGTTCCCAGCAGACCTATTAACGCCTTCTTTGACTCCATTCCAATGAATGACGTCCTTATAAGCGTGAAACCAAAAGTGACTCACAACATTTACGTCTGAATACTGCTAACTCTTTTGGATCAATCGCGTATGTTTTGTCCATGCAAACATCCCGGTAGTATTGCCGGGTGAAAGCTCAAAATAAACGATCCCTTTAAAATCCCATCGAACAGACAACCTAACCTTCTTTTAGGTGAATATCGGCCTTTGAAGTGGTTTGAGCTGGTTCATCTCATTTCGACCATCATCTCTGGCGTTTATATTCATTAAAAACCCATAAAAAGATGATCGACGCACACTGGCTCTTCGACGAATTCAAAGCTGCTTTTGACTTGACGAGAAGGAGCTGCCTTTATTTCGCTATGTCTGAATTTGGTATCCCTGAAAAACCAATACCAAAAACCTGCTTTAAGATCGGCGAACCTCTCCGAGCCGTTTGATACCAAACGAGGCAACTCCTTATCATCCTATCACCTACTTCTTCAATTCAGCTGCAGAGCTGAATAGAGAAGGTACAATCTTCTATAAGAGTGAACAGGTATTGGCGTATGCCGGTAACATAGATTTCGTTGACCATAACAACAGCGCCGTTAGTTATGCTTTCGAGACTGGATAAAGAAATGAAGCAAAAGGGTCTGGTGGTGAATTAGGGTAAGACGAAATATCTCCTGTCCTCAAGCAAAAAGTCGTCGCACTCGCGACTTGCTCTCATGTCACTGTTGATAGTCATAACCTCGCCGTCGTAGATAACTTCGTCTATCTTAGAACCAGCATTAACATTAACAACAAGGTCAGCCTCGAAATCTAGAATTTCTTTTGCGAATAGGTGCTACTTTGGACTGAGTACGAAATTTAGAAGTAAATTATTTTCTCGACAAACAAAGGCCAAACTCTACAAGCCTCTCTCAGCGAATCAAGATGCAGCGGCTGAGCTACGTAGGTAATGTTATCCGCATTGATGGGAGTACTCCAGCTTAGAAGCTATTCGATTCAATACCCGCCGGAGGAAGTAGAGGAAGAGAAGATCTCTATTCCGTTGGAAAGACCTGGCTACCCCTGGAATCTGCAATTGAGGCCAAACAGCGAAAAGAAAGATCCACTGGCGCGCTGCTCTAAACTCGGCTATAATCGTGTTAGCGGTGTCTACGCCAATAAAGAAGAAGAACAAGAACTTTCGTTCGAAAATTTGAATATTTCAGTCTCTCGAGTTGTTATTTCACAAATTGCTCGGCCAACAAATTTATTCACATTGGCTTCAGGAGACCTTCCTGGTTCTAGTGCATCCAAACAAAAATTATTCCAAAAAATTTAAGAAACTTTTTTATAAAATAATAACCACCTCTTTGCATACCCCAACAAACAAACTTCAAACAAATAATCGGAACCCAGGAGAGCAACACGTTTCACGAACTCTCTCTGAAGTGATTCCGATGGCAAACAGCAAAAGACTGTCCACTCGACAACTTTTTTTTTACGAAAATTCTTCAACAATAAAAACAATAAAGATATTGTCGAAGAATTAATCGGATCCAGGACTGTAAAATGGCGTAAAATAAATCTTTCTATGCCGCCTCCTCTGTCTCTGCTCTTTGTCGGCACCAATATCCACCCTTTTAAGCCTCTAGCCCATGCAGTCACATACTTGGTAATATAAAAAATATGCAATTCGAGCAAAGCTGCTAACTGCTACTACAATACCAACAACATCAGCAGTATTTTTCAGTTCACTCTTCACTCAGTTGATGAGTTGTTAGAACTATAACATTCACTTTTTTTAGCATCTCCAGAATTTAAAATAATATTGCAAAGAAATACAAATTAGTTTGCTTCCTCTTTACTGACGTGAAGAAATGCATGTATTCATTTGTTGCTCTTTGAACATTGCATAATGCCTACATTGTCATATACACCTATACATATGTATGTATGTATAGGCATCAGCAAATTATTATCGCTCTCGTACAACACGTAATCTTGAAAATAAATATGTGTGTATGTGTGCACACATAATAATATGTTACTTTTGCTGAAAATATTTGTATGTTTTATCGCGTCATGATACGACGCATGTGCATGAGTATGTATGCACATACATACATGCGTAGTATATTTGATATATACTTACACATATATATATGTATGTGTATACGGCAAAGCTTTTTATTACCGAAGTGCAAAAACAAGTCAAATCCAATTTTTAAATTTAAAACTCTTAACAACATTTATTTAATAATCTAAAATTAAATTCCAGCATTTTCTTCTAGTATAATAAATATACACAGAAGGATGAGTTGTTCCACATACTACAATGGTACGCTAGGTATACATCATTAAATTTTCATAATTTTTTTTTTTTTTCTTTTCCGACATGATAAAGTGAAAACTTTTCTAATTATGTTTACTCCTAACAGCAATTCTGCATTCACTTAGCTTAGCTACGCAAATTGCTAAGCCAAATCATAAAAAAAGTTATTTGCCTTTAACAATAATATAGTCCATTAACAGTGCTTGAGATGTGAATTACATGCCTAAATTGTATTGAGTTAGCAGGCAGTCGTGTACTTCAACAGTTTTTTTTTAAGAGACATTTACTGTCTGGCATTGACGATTTGCACGAATTCGGGCTTCAGAGAAGCGCCGCCCACCAAGAAACCGTCGATGTCGGGCTTTTTAGCCAAGTCCTTGGCATTGGCACCAGTCACGGAGCCACCATATTGGATGCGTAATGTGGCAGCGACTTCCTTAGAAATGTTCTCAGTCAACCATTGACGAAGGTAGGCGTGCACTTCTTGTGCCTGCAAAGACAAACGCACACAAATAAAATATATAAATTAGTTTATATAAAGGAACATTTTGAAATGTTTGTTGCATGAACAAACCTGTTCGGGAGTAGCGGTTTTGCCTGTGCCAATGGCCCACACTGGCTCATAAGCTACGACAACATTAGTCCAGTCCTTCACCTTCTGTGCTATCGCACACATTTGTCTAGCGACAACCTCTTGTGTCTTATTGGCTTCACGTTCGTCCAGAGTTTCGCCAATGCATGCGACTACTTTCAAACCAGCTGCCAAGGCATGTTCGACCTTCTCGGCAATGAGTTCATCGCTCTCCTTGAAGATTTGGCGACGCTCCGAATGTCCCAGAATAACCCAACCGGCACCGGTGTCTTTAATGATAGCGGGCGAAATCTCACCTGTGAACGCACCCTTTTCTACTTTGTAACAATTCTGGGCGGCCACATTTATAGTCTCAGGTAATAGACTACGTACGTAAATGAGATATGGTGCTGGTACACCGACATACACCTGTGTGTTGGGATCTAATGGTCCGGCTGAAAGAATTTTGCACAATTCGGCGATAGATTTCTGATCGCCATTCATCTTCCAGTTACCACCAACGCAGAATTGACGTGACATTTTGTTATGTTTTTTATTCTTATCGCAACTGCTGAGAGAACGAGTAAACTGCAATGCAAAATACTGAAAATTTTTGTTTGTTATTCACTTAGTTGCTAATATAAAGTCGCTAAATGGACTGGAGGTAATGACTGGAGCAGCCGGAATTATTCACTCACTTTGCAAGAAGTTGGTCGAATGAATAACCTTGCAACGACCCTTTCGGCAGCTGTCAACATAGTTTTTTCGATTTGTTGTTGCTGTTTTCTTTAGATTTGGTACAGTACGAATAAGAAATTGGCAAATGCGACCCTTCAGTGAAAGTTAACGTGCACAAACAATGGATGGCGCTGCTGTAAGACAAACCGTTATTTGGAATATGGAATTTGAAATTAAAAGGAAAACGAAAATTTATACGCAGGTATCTGCGATTACACATTTGAAAGCTTCCGGCAATTTTTGATAATTTTTAAAACGTTTGGGGAAATTGTGCGCTATAAACTTGTGTTTTCAAAGTAATAAAGTACAAAAAGCGCATGTGTGTACACAAAGAAATTGAGTGTGAGAAAATGTTGAACGCTGGAAATGGAATACAGCAACGAGTTGACACTTTATTTTTACATTCATCTACATATTCGTTATTGTGGATGCACGACTGCGTTAAGTTAGTATTAAATTGTAACACCACAATATGCATATGTGCCCACATATATATTTATACATGTACGTCTGTATGCACATTGTTATATATGTATGTATCTATGTATATAGAGATTCAATTGGATTAATGTAACGTGAGAACTTCGCCAACAATACACAATTCAGTGACAGCGGCATGCATCTGCATTTAACCAAGTTTAAGGACAATTACATGTACCCGGCGATTCATACATAAATACATATTTACACGCATACACCCCATAAAACAACCCATAAAGCACTGATCGCTGCTGTTGGAATTTAATCCAGCGGACACATTCTTTCAGCTCGCTTACATTTTTCCTTCACTGAGTTTAAGTTCATACATTTGTATGCATGTGTGTGTTGTATATCTTTACCAAAAAAAAAAACACATGTATAAGTGTATGTAAATAATTTTCTCACCAAGATATCGTAAACAAACAATACAATTATTTTATATCTCGTATTAATTTCATTTTTATTTATTTTTTCTTATTTAATTTATTTATGTATGTAATTAAAACAGCAAACGCTTTATAGTCTGTTTTGGGTGCGCAGTTTGTCTGCGACACGCTCTCGCTTAAGATGTGTGGCGCGAAGATCGGCTCCAAATGAGTCGCCGTTCTGTTCGCGATATTACTATATATGCAAATATTCTCAGTACAGACAATGTGCAAGTTATTAATTAAAAAATTGTTGTTGTTTTAATGAAATAGAGAATGCGATGTGCCATCGGCAATCATTCATGTGACGTTTTCTTCAAAAATATCTCGAGTACGTGAAATCATTCGCAAATAATTAGTGACAAGTCAACCCACTATCAAAATTAGTGTCCACTGTAGTCCAGCCGTCACTATGTGCTGGTGTTTACGTGTCTATTGGACTGTTTTGCATAATTTGTTCACGCGATTTGTGACAGCATTTGCCGATTCCGTCTATAATAGTGATCTGTGCGCGCGTTTAATGTGCTGTTCGCATTCTACATGTTGTTTTTGTTGTGATCATTGTTTATTTTATAAACATACTGAGCGTGAAGCGCGCAAATCAAACGAAAATGACGGAGAGGAGCGTGAATTAACGCTGGCGGATATTGAAGAGGGGCAAGCCAAAGCAACCTCTCCCTTTCAACACCACGATTACGTCATAGTTGGTGAGTACGCTAGAAAGTGAGAAATTCGTTTGCTCAGCAGTTATCGAAAATCGATGGGCAGTTTTAGGAGCAAGTGTTCTTCTCTCAATAACTATACTGCCATTATTATTGCTCATAGCGGGTGTTCATATGTCAAAGTTATGACGATGTAATATGTAGAAACAGATATACAAATATATAATTATATTTATCTGTAAATTGTTAGGAACACGACTTAAATAAATATTTTTAAAGGTTTTAGCAATGTAGCAATGTGGAAAAATAATCGGAATACTAACTGGTCTCTGTCTGGTGACAGCACACGCCGTCAGAATGGGACTGAAAGATAGAGATGGCTGCAGGAAATGCTTAGAGCAGGGCACCAGGGTAACAGTGGAACATCTCTTGTGCACTTGTTCCGCATTGGCAAGACTACGCTGTAAACACGGTATGATACATTGGAGGAGGTATCGATAGTGAGGCTGCAGAGCCTGTTAAAATTCGCGTCTCTGCTCTTGGACCTAGGAACTGAACTCCATCTGGTATCGCAAAGGACCAAAACCGGTCTATACGTGGCTTTTCCACATATTTTTAAACCAAATCTTCGTCGTCGCCTACAAAATAGATCGCTTTTGAGCCAATTCTTAAATAATGAAAGCTTAATCAAGTTTTGGATACACCTTCAGTGCCTTCAACGAACGTTAATTATTTCAGTTTCGGCTAACTTTTCGGACACCAATCTCTATAATGTTGAACAGTAGCGACGGCATATTCATAATCCCACGTCTCGCCTACAGTAATGTCCCCAGACCTAATATATATATATGTATTTCCAAACTTCCTGTTGACTTTATACCACACCTGTCGGTCACTACGTTTTCGTCATCAACAGAAGTGGATGTATCACGCTCATGAGAGCAGTTTTCGATGACTTCACGATCTTTATCTGAATGCTTTGTGAACTTGTGTTCGTGATATATTATACTCCTCTAAATAATTCGGCAACATTTTAACAATTCGGCAACATTTTAACAATTCCGTAACCGCGGTTCCATCACAATTCGTCATATACATACGTACGTTCAGCGTTCAGATAAAATCCAAGTGGCGAGTGGCAAGAAATGATTCATACGGTTCAAGTAGCGCACTACTTCTGGTCTTAGACCAAGTATCCTCTGGGTAGCCAACGAACATCCGCGTGCGCTAAAGTGAGAAGGCGAACCATCCTTCGCCATTGTAGCGCTTTGAGTGTTGTATCCGCCATGTAAAAAACGCCCCCACAGAAAATGAAACAACAGCCTCGGAAGAGAATCCCCCCAGCAAACTTTGCACGTAATGTATTCATGTTACACCTCAAACATGAGGCGGTTGTTGAAAATAGAGACGGTCCGCGCCGATTTCAATAAATTCTTGGAAAAAAAGTAGGTCATCATCGTATTATAACGCTCGCTATTAGTGATACCGGTATTTTCAACCTCATTTGGAAAGAAAGAAGGTCCGATATTCGCAACAAACGGTCAGTTTGTAGAAATACGATAGCGTTACCTGAACCACACGAGGATTTGACTCACCCCAATAGCGACAGTCTTGTTTGTTTACATGAATTTGCTTAGTAATTTTGAAAAATGTTCAAGCTTTGTCTCAAAGGTTACAAAACTTACTGAGTATACTGGCAAAAATGTGACTCATATCCATAAACTGATATGGCCGCCAAGAGCTATCAAAATCATGTAATGGTAGACTTCGATAGCGTGATGGGGCCTCAAAGTTATGTTTCGATTTGTTGAAGTTGTTTTAATGTAATTCGTGGGTTTTGCTACCATCAACTTATCTTGTTTTTGTTTTTCGTACTTTCCTTTTTAGATGATATCGATGCTAATTATCTGGAAATTGAGCGCCGTAAAATTGAAACAGAACACTATTATCGTCTAGTAGATCGCGCATCTGCTGAGCACATTCTCAATTTTCGAGAAGACGGTGCCTGCTTAGTGCGACCGTTCAAAGAAGCGGTATATTTTTGCAGCAAACTTAACTCTGTTTTCAAATGTTTTACTAATCACAATAATCCGTTCTTTTCTTCATATATGGTTCTATAGGATCTGTCAATAAAATATATCGTAACGGTATATGCACAGCAGCAATATTTCCACCTCTTCATCAGACAACTAAATGGCAAAGATTCTTACAGCATCGGACAGCAAAAGCCAAATGAGAAGATATTCAAGTCACCAAGTGATATTATCGATTTTTATAGTCTTAATGCATTACAATGTACAAATAAAAATATTAGCGTATGTTTAGTATTAAAACCAATAGTTACTTAGTCATTAAGTATGCATGTAGATATATAATTTAATTGTACTTGAGATAATTTAAATTAATTTTAAGTATTTAATATTTATTGCTTACATTATAAATTAATAGAAAGGGAGTTAAGTATTATATATATATATGTATGTATGTATGTACATATTGAAAGTGAATTAAAGCCGGTTTCGAAGTAGACATTTTTTATAAATATTCGAATTTTCGTTGATAACTGTTGCACCAGAAAAAATGGCTAAATAAATTCTGCGTCAACTCGGCTGTTGGGCACTATTTTAGGCATGCTACAGTTAATTAAACTTTAATTGCACGTTTTTGGTAGTCGCAAGCTTTTACTAAGTGGCTACTATCGCTTTAAAGACACAGTGGTTGTTCTGCATCAGCGCTGGCCAAAGAAATGCTTTGATCAAGTCGGAGCGCCGATCTGATTGCGAATGCCGCTCGTGCTTTTCCGGGCGCAAGAAACCTGTTCGAAATACAAATAATATATGAAATAAAGATTTTTATAAAAAAGAAATATATTTTTTCCTTACCAAGATTGAAATCAGTATCAAGGTAATAAGGTGACTTCTGATTAATCATACGCCAAGCCAAGCGTACACAGGCGCTGACGAAGTGCGTTAGTGGTGGGCAAGACTCCAAGCAGGGATATTCGTGGAGAGTGGAAAGCACCTGTGGAATAAAAAATAATTAAATTGTTTGGTATAAAATTTGAAAAATATTTTTTAATTTAAAAGTTTTAGAACAATAAAATGTAAAATTTTGGAAAAAAATTCACAAATTTTAGATTAAAAATTCAATGTTCAAATTTTAGTTCCACTTTTGGGATTAACAATACAATTTGAAAAAACT